AAGCAAGGTCTGGGCAGGCCTTCTCCCAAACGGCTTGTGCCGCTGTTGTCACTGACCTCAAGGGTGGCTGCTTTGGGTTTTGCTACAGTAGCTCTGCTTGAGATTCTGGCAGGATGTTGGGTCAATGTTTTGCAATATCGTAGAAGAGCCCTCTGTTTGTTAGATAGCATCTACACTGCTCAACTGGATCGGTGCCCTGACGATGTCGTTCGCTTGGCGCCCTGCCTGGTAGATGAGCTCTGGTCGCTAGCCATTGTGGGCCCCATTATAGCTTCTGACTTACGAGCCCAATCTATGCCAAAGGTGTTTTTGTCAGATGCGTCTGAGACGGCGCAAGCTGTGGTGGCGGCCGAGGTTCCTCAGCCTTTTGCTCGAGAGCTTCAGCGGCATTGCCTTAGTCGAGGAGGGTGGAGTAAGCTGCTGTCACCTTGGAAAGTTTGGCTGAAGTCGCATGGGAAACTAGAGGAGGCCGAAGAGATGCCGTCTGGCGTGCCGTTGGTCTCTCATCCTCTCTGGCTGCAGTTGGCCAGATCTTTGCAGTTTGAGAGCGAGCTCTTTGAAAGAGTAAGGAAGCGGAAGCACATAAACTTGTTGGAGCTGGAGATCATTTTGAAGTTTGAGCGACAGCTCGCCTTGGAGCATCAAGATGTGAGGTACAACCTGGCGTCAGACAGTCAGGTTACCTTGGCTTGCCTTGTCAAGGGGAGATCAAGCTCCCCGCATCTGAATAGATTGCTGCAACGCAGCCTACCCAGTCTGCTTGGCAGCGGCATCTACGGAGGCTACGGGTTCATCCCTTCACTGGCCAACGTTGCAGATGACCCCACGAGGGAACATGAAATCAGAGCGCCAGTTGCCTCTCCTCCAGAATGGCTGCTGGCAGCGTTTCACGGGCAGTTTGAGGCTTTAGACGTTTGGCTTGAAGAACGCGGTTATGATCCTTTAGCTGTAGCTGAGCTTCCGTTTGCTGAAGGTAGGGCAGTTTCTAGGAAGGTGTTAGCTGAGGATTTCATTCCCCAGCTTAGAGCTGTGCAGAAGCCAGAGAGACTAGCTAGATTTGACCAGTTTTTTCCGAGTGCTGAGAGCGGTGCAGCAGAAAGCGCTGCTCGCACATATACAGCTAGAGTTTGCACCGAAGTTTCACAGACCGCTGCAGATAGCACAGTTTCGTCCACTTGTACAGTTTCTGAGTTTCACAGGGAATGCTTGCCACTAGATCAGTCTGCTGTTTCACCCCAGTTTGAGAAAACAAGAGTTGAACAAAATGGGGCAAAAGAGCCATCGAGCCTAACCAAAAAGAAGAAAAAGAGGCCACAAAAATCAGGAGACAAAAAGGCCCAATCAAAGACTCCTCGCTGTTGTTTCCAGCAGGGCGCCCCCTCTGCAGATGTAGCTAAGACTGGCTCCTATGAGCCCCCAGGGTCACGTAGGTCCGTACAAGCAGCCATGGCTAGATCTTTGGGAGCATTGCCCGAGCTGAGTGAGCATGCAAAAGAACTCCTGCGTCACTTCCCTCGTGCACAGTTTTTTGCGCCCGGGGGCAGACGAGCTGGGGCTGACTTCAAGCCCGCCTGTCAGGGAGTCCTGGATTTGTACTCTGGCGCTTCCGGGGTTGCGCGCTACATTAGCCGAAAATACGGCGTTTGGGTCCTGACCATTGACTATGAGCATGGGCCAGGGCAGAATTTGCTTGACACTGACCTCCAAGCACGGCTGATGAGCTGCTTAGAGGCTGGGTGTTTCGCTGCTGTAGGCGCGGCTCCGGACTGCAGTAGCTTCTCCAGGGCTGTGACCCCTGCCGTGCGTGATGCAGCAAATCCTTTTGGGCGGCCTGGCATTTCGGCAAACATGCAGGAGAAGGTGGCCAGGGGAAACCAGCATGCTCTTTTTATTTTTTCAGTTGTGCAGTTTTGTGATAGGAAGGGGATACCCTACTGGGTTGAGAACCCTGATGGAAGTTTCCTTTGGCTTTTACCCTACTGGGTTGAATCCTCTTTGGGGAGCTGCTCCTCCTCCTATCGCTTTGACCAATGCCGGTTTCATGCACCATGGCGCAAGCGCACCAGAGTTGCTACCAACACTGACCTTGCGGGGATCCGCGAGCTGTGTCAGGGAGGCCATCAACATCAAATACTCAGAGGGCGTAGCAGCGCTCATGCTTGCAGCTGGACACGGGTTGCTCAAACTTACCCCCGCTCTCTTTGCCGGCGACTGGGTGATGCGTTGATGCGGGGAGTGCGGCGCCAAGTGCAGAAGCTGGACATTGCGGGCTGTGCGCGGACCTTGCATGCCCGCATTGGCGAGGCCTCTCATCCGGGCCCACGCCATGCTGCGCCGCTGCAGCCCCGAGATCCAGCCGCTCTGGCAGATGTTCGCCTTATTGAACCGAGCACTGCCGCGCGTCAGGATCGAATGCTTGAAGAACTTGGTGCTTGGCTGCGCGCCCGGCTCAGCGAGGAGACTATCAACCAGCTCTACCTCTGCCCTGCTCTTGCTGTTTCTGTTTTGAAGACCTATGCCATGCATTTGTTTGCGAGTGGTCGCAAGCTCTATGAACTCCGCTACACACTCATTGCTGTGCAGCATAGATACCCTCATTTGCGCTCTTCTATGGCCCCAGTTTGGGCGGTGGTGTCAAAGTGGGAATTGTATCAGCCTCTACAGCATCGAAAACCTCTCCCAGAGTTGCTCTTCAAAGCGATGTTTGTGCTAGCTTGTTTGAAAGGGTGGACAAGATGGAGTGCTTCGCTGCTTCTGGGTTTTGAGGGCATTGCAAGGATCGGAGAAATTTTGGCAGCTCGCCGTCATGACTTGCTACTCCCCAGTGATTTAGCTGAGACTGAGTCGGCCGTTGCCTTCTTGAAGATTCGCTTGCCCAAAACCAGATTTCGCGGTCGAGGCCGTGTTCAGCATTTGAAGATTCGCCATGCTGCCAGTCTCCCCTTTCTTGAGCGAGTTTTTGGAGCTTTGGACCCCTGCTTACCTTTGTTTCCTTTGTCAGCCCATGTTTTTCGGAAACGCTGGGATTTACTGCTGGATTTGCTGCAAATTCCTGGGGCACAACGCCCTACACCTGCAAGCATTAGAGGTGGCGGTGCTATTCTGGCGTATCGCCGTGGCGAACCGATAGCTGACATTTTGTGGCGAATGCGGTTGGCGTCCCAGCCGACCTTGGCTTCATATTTGCAGGAGCTGGCCGCAGAGAGCTTGCTGGCTTTTCTGGCTCCCACAGTGCGTCAGCGACTGATCCATGTGGCTTCTCTTTTCCCTGTTTGCCTGCAGTCTCTGGGATGATTCCTTTGGCGTACTTGCACGTACCTTCGGAGACGGCCTGTTCTAAGAGTGGATGGTCCTGAAGTTAGTTTCCTCCTTAGCATCTCTTTTTTTTTTTGAGCCGTTGGCTCCTCTTTTGAAGAGCTGCGATGAAACTTGGGCAACTTCAGAGCCATTACGATCCAGAACTTAGCAGAGCTAAAGCGGGACAAAAAGATCCGAGCGGTGTGCACACATGCATGGTGAAAGCATGCATTTGGGACCCCGCTAGAAATCTCGGGCCCTCCCACATGCCACCCGTTTGGATGGTCCTGAAGTTAGTTTCCTCCTTAGCATCTCTTTTTTTTTTTGAGCCGTTGGCTCCTCTTTTGAAGAGCTGCGATGAAACTTGGGCAACTTCAGAGCCATTACGATCCAGAACTTAGCAGAGCTAAAGCGGGACAAAAAGATCCGAGCGGTGTGCACACATGCATGAAAATGCATGAAAATGCAAGGTCTGAAAATTCTGATGACTCAGAGCATAGTAAAGAGCAATAGTTGCAAAACTTGCTGGAGACAGATGTCCATCATGCCTTCAAGCTAGTGCACTTGATGTCTTGGCAACTTCAGACTATAGCTGCTCGCCAAAGCATAGCCACATTGAAATGAACTAAGTTCTTGCATATTTTGGATCGTTTGGATATGTTTGGATTATTGATCGAAAACTTAAGGTGCACCGTGGTGCACCATCAAATCCTCCACCATTTGAGGCGCATCAGAACACTTCAAGCTGATCCGTGCTGCGCGCTTGCTGGACCTCCCATGAGGTCGCAAGGTTGGCTTCAAGGATTCAAACAAGGCTGCCAGCGTAACTGTGATTAACTATGTATCCTACTCGGGCTTGACGACCTGGAAAATCTATGATCTATGAGCACCCCGGAACTTCTTCTGCCATCCTACTGCCACCTTTTGCCAGCTTGTAAGCGTCTATAGGCTTGCTTCTTGGAATGCTGACCATCAATGAGACTTCTCAAGTGCATTCAATTGTGTCCTCGGCCACGTTGAGTGCCGAACTGAAGTTCTCTCATGACCAGGATCGACTAATTCTATTAAAAATGTTGCATTACTAATATTGAGTGTCTTTGATGCCTTTGCACTTTATTTGCGTTTTACATCCCAATGTTGGAAGTGGTAGACATGCCCGGGCAGCTACTCCTTGGTTCCTTGCGCTATTTAAGTTGTGGAAGCCATGGCTTTATGCCATGGCCGGGCCCAAAGTGGTCGATGACCTGGCTATTTGTCTCAGACGTTGCTACTCACTGCAGGACATGGCTGTAAAAATACGATGCTCAAAAAACTGCTATGCAATGCTATATATGGGCATGCTCGCATGGTCAAGGATCACCAAACTTGTACCATCTGCAAGCTTTGAGTTGAAATTACCCGAGATTTCGCTGGTCCACTGATATTCACCATCCCATATTCCGCGGTTTCACTGAGTCACTTGCTCCTGACTGTTTGTCAATTGCGAAGTGGCTGAAAATGGTGCACGGGCTAAGAAAACAGGTGGTGTTTTCCGTCGATCCCAAGAGACCGATCAGATGCCATGACAGGTAGCCAGATCCTGAAATCAACCAGTCGCCAAGTCACCGTCTCAGCATGTAGCCATTTTATCCCATTTTCAACTTTGGCAAACCACGGATGCTGGCCATTCAAGCAGGGCAAAAACTTGGCAAAGTCGCCTGCCCTGAACCATGCCCATACTGTGTCCAAAGATATAGACCCTCCACCAAGACCTTCAATTCCGGCAACGCGCCAATGCCTGCGAATTATGCTCCAAGCTCAACAGCGTTCATTGGGGAGCAGGGCAGAGAAAGAACTTGCCTACACTGATGGGCCCCTACCCAAGATTAACAATTGGGCGAATCCAACTCCCGCTTATCCATAGTTCAGGCTAGAGGGCCCGTCATTGTGGATGTGTTTCAATTTATTCGCTAGAAAGAAGATGACCGAAACTGACAAAAGTGACCAACACATATTCTGTTGTGGAGTTCCTGTCCTGTTTTGCTGTGAATGTAAAGTAATGTACAGATATGTATAGCCTGTATAGCTGTTTTAAATAATTTCATCCTGGACTGCACTGACTGCACAGGTTTAATCTTTGAATCAGTGATGCTTCGCCATGAGTTTGGTCCTTCATACACCAGATATGTCCTGTGATGCCTCATGATACCTTTATGTCCTGTGAAAATTCTTTCGCAGTGCGGGGTATCAAGTTATATCACTCAGCTATACTCAGCTGTAACTTGGAGGGAGACACATGTCTCACCTGAAGGGTCTGCGTCCAGGTTCGCAGAATCCGGCGGAAAGCCCAGTTGTCGAGAAGTGGCAACGACCATAGGCAACTGGGTAGGGGTGAAGCATGCTGAAGCGCTGCCTCGAAGGATCTTCAAGGGATTCAACGTCACAATGTGTCAGGTCTAAACAGGGAAATTGCCTGCTTTTTATAGATGTTTTTCGCCAATCCTTAGTGTTTTTTGTTTTCGATTCTGCTGGGAACCTCAGCAGTGGGAGTCAACATTTGTGACAGAGACATTCATTGACTCATATGCATACAGGCAGCAGATTGCGGATCTCAAGATGTTGGCAGATTCTGCTGGGATCACAGCAGCCACGCCGTGGTTCGTCATGGACAGTAGTGTCATGCAGTGTCCCTCCAGTTGGCAGCCGGCGTAATCGGCGTAATCAGCTGAGACAAATATTAAGCACCGGAAATTCAAGATGTACAGTCAGCAGAGTCTATAGGAACCTACAAGAGTTGGAAAGAGCTTTCAAAACCAAGTGGTGGTTACCTGGTGCTTCAAGGAACAACTCAATCAACGGGCTAACGGCCGGGCTGAGGCTAGTCGTTCAGGCAACGTCTACCAGGCCCTTCAGGCAGATGGCCATGGATTGGATAAACCGTTTGAAGCCACACTTTGCTGGCAGAATGTTAAACCATGTTAAACCATGCCATGTTAAAGCACTTTGCGGGCAAATTGTGTGAAACCGAATCACTTGGACTGAAGACACAATGCTTGGCAGAAACTAGGTGCTGCTCCCTTTTATCATCTGCATTCGAAGAATCCCAATCCGCTGACGCGACACTCCACCATCCAAGACAAGTGCAAGCACAGAAGCATTTTGTGTTCGGAAGTTGCTGGAAGATACTGCAGTTGGACCAGACATGACCAGACCATGTCCATTTCTCGTTTGCTGATTCGCTGATGCAGAGGCCTACCACAAGATGGGCGTGGTTTTCGACAACCAGGGTATGTATGACGAGGTCAGATATTTCAGACATGTCTTGAAAGAGAAGGATCAACCAAACGATGGTGCCATACTCTCCCATGGGACAAATACGTAAAGGGCAAACCAGGGTGTTCTCCTGATTTCGTGCTGAGACCTCCAGGCCAAGTAGAAATTTGAGCTTCTCTCCCCAGAATCGAAGCATATCGAAGCCATGGGAGAGATGAAGATGAAGCAGAATGAACCCCTGATGAAGCATGCCAGGCTATTCAAAAGTACAAGCAGTTCTTGGCCTTGTGCATCACTTCCACAAACACTCAGGGTGAGGCCATGGCTGGCGATCCATTTGGGCCTGGTGATTTCCAGAATCCTGTCGTGTCCGTGTTGGCTGAAAAAGGCTGTAGGGCTGTAGGTGAACACCAGAAGAAGTAATTGTATAATCCTTTCCACCTAAGAATAAAGATCTCGGAAACCATGCTTTTGTATTGGATTTGGTCATTTCTGGTTCCAATATATTCCAATATCTGAGGGGTTACTATATTACTTATAGAGGGATGGGAGTAGATAATCGAAGAGGCTTCACCCACTGAATTTTCTGGCATCCCAGAACTCTAGGCCTTGGCTTACAACTGCCTGGGCATCGACTGCTTCAAAATGGGTGCGAAGACCCAGCTTGGCTCGCAGGCCAGCGAATGTGCCTAACTGTCCTAACTTGCACCGTCTCAGCCTATCCTTTTCCAGCTTGGGATGGGGATGCCATTGTGTGTAGCCTTTTGCTTTGGGCCCTTCCATTCGAGAGAAGGTCTCCAGTTGCTTCTTTTGTCGTTTCTATTGACAGTACTACCTTATTTGCAGGCTTTGTTGCAAAATGAGCAGTGGCTTACCATGGATACAATCTGCAGATGATCAGTGGATCAGTGGATCAACAATACTGGGGATGATTTCGAGGCTAGTTTTGAGAATCGACATTGAAACTGTTTGCTCCTTCCAATGTGGTTGCCCAGTGACGGCAACTGCATCACAGTTAACAGCTTCACTTGCTGTTAGCTGAATCCATGTCTGTGCGCTATAAAGTTTGGCTCAGGGTGGCCGGAGCATGGTGCCGTTCGTGATTTTTACCCACCAAGCAGTTGAATAAACATGCGCGGCCCCCATCACATATTGCAATCCCACCACGGTTAGCAGTTTGTGACTTGACTTCACACACCAGTCGAAATAGTGGATTTACCCATTAAAAATGCCGATTTTCCATAGTTTTTTGTATGTTTACCAGAGGGTAAGCCACACATACACAAAAAAAAAACTCATGTGAACTGTGAACTGGTCGCAACCATCAGCCCTAAAAACGCCAATCGCTGCAATGGGCTACCGAGTGAATGGCCTTCCTCCTTTTCAGGTCTCCTTTAGCATCACTTTCCCTGAAGGTTACGTTGGGAAAGAGAAGATGGACACCAAGTTCAAAGTTGAGGCAGACGACTCTCAAGTGCAGGCAGGCAAAGAGAACGGACATGTCTCCAGTGAGCTGACTGATATTGATGATCCGATATGCCCTGCGACAGTGCATGCTTTGCTTATGTGACGCAAGTAGAGAACGAGGGAAATTGCTGTACTGCTTCAAACTTGTGTGCCATTGCTACATGGCATTTCCTTGTGGTTCACGAGTGGAGATCGATGTTCATTCAAGTTGATGATGCGGCTGGGTATTCTAAAGGAATAATAAGTCGGAATATATCATAATCCCCTATTTCGAAAGAGTTGGCGACATGGATTAAGTTATACTATAGGAAATATTATGTATATACATTCATGATTTTGCTGCCCCGCCATCTCCAATCCCTTTGTTTTCCAGTTGGCAGGTTGGCGTGCTGAACCAGTTGGCTAGGACGGCCAAGTACGAAACGAACAAAAGCAGCTTGCCTTTAAGAGATGGGAAGACATGGAAGACCTCCAGTGGGTTTGGGGCTGGCTTCTTCATAATTCCAAGACATCAGTATACATCAGTCATGTTTTTGGTGTCAACGCCGAGGCCATGCGCGTGTTGCTATTTTGGGGCTGGGGTGGGGTAATGACGTTCTTTTCCACTTCAACCACATGATACGTCATGCTACGCTGGTGCAAAAGCGTGACAGGCAATGTCCTCAACAAACTCGGACAAGTTTGTGCTTGAAACAAAAAAATCGGAACTTTTCCACGAAGCTCTCGGGACACAAAATTACAGTTTCGTTGTGGTAAAGCATTATATGATATATATATATAGATTTTCCAAGTTTGAGGCGACCGTTCCATGGAATTTTAACCGCAATTTTACCGAAGAAAAATAAGAATGTGCAAATTACTACTGTGCAGTTTCGGTCATTTCCACCATCATTGATGTCATCACCGGCACGGCCTTTTACAGGCGTTCAAACCATCTTTTTTTGTTTGTAGTACTTCCCTCTTCGCGTGTTTCTTGACAAGTGGCGGTTCACGGCGGTTCAATTCTAGCTGCGTTGGAAAAATAGTGCCGGCTACGAAGCTCGTTGGTTCGTTTTTTTTGTTTTGGTGTGTGTGTGTGTGTATCGGCGTGCGACGTTGGGATGTTGGTTGTATCTAGCTGTTCAGTTGGGGCTTGTCGTCGTCAAAACAAAGGGGCTGCTATGCTGGGCCATGTCTGACTTTTGCTCAATTTGGAGGCCGAAGAAGAACCCAACTCAGGCAGTCCGTATCAAACAGGTGGAATTCTATTCTCATAAATCCTCAACACAGGCCCCAACAGCTTGAACCTATATAGTTGAAACATTTTTTTCTCACCTCCATGATTGCGTCCCAGGTAGCGCTCCCACGTTGGATGCGGATTCTCTCGAACTTCATACGAAGCTTGAAGCGCTGAAGGTCATTGCTCCTGGGACTGCACTGGAATTGGTATCAGCGCGGGACTGAGACCAGTCATGTAGTTGGTTCACACCTGGTGTGAAGTTCTGGTGATTTTTCTATAGTTATGTTTGGACGCTGAGAGGTGTTTGCAAATCCTGATCAAGCAATCTTATCAGAACTTCCCTTATTTTCCATCTTTTTGACAGCAGAGGGTGATTTCATTTTCTATTTCATGTTTGATATCAACAGTATCGGTCCAAGGCCAGTACCGCTTCTCCTGTGTTGAACAAGTGCAATGGTCGTGGCTCCATTGATGACGATGAAACGACGGAAGGATCGGAGAGGGGAGATTTGGTGCCTCGGTTGCTTCGAGTTTGCTCCTTCGCTTCAGTTCTTCCCATTGGCTCTTGGAAAAAACGGGCAAATCAGGGCAAAAGAAAACAATATGTGTATAGACATATTAACGGGGGTTTCCATAAATGGGGGATCCCAAAAATGGTTGGTTTACAATGGACAATCCCTTTTTTACATGGATGATCTAGGGGTACCCCCTATTTCAGAAAACCTCCATATGTATTATGTATCAACACATCATATTCTATAACTTTGAACTTGGGGACTGGGAGATTTGAGTACTTGCAATAGGGAACTGGCTGCCTAGACTTGTCCTAGACTTGTCACCTTTTTCACTTTGCATAGCGGTTTCGCCTTCCAAGTTGTGTTCCATGGAGCACTTCGAAGAGTCATGGAATGCTTGGAATGCCTAGCCTGCAATCGTACTTTTTAAAAATTGGCAACTGACTTCACATCCAACTAATCTGCTTTGCCTTTGTGACTCTTGGTCCCTTTGCGAAGGTTACTGCAACATCCTCTCTGAAGACTTTGTCCAGCGATTTCCAGGATGCTGAATGCTGCAGACCCTTCTTGGGAGTCCAGTGCCAATTGGATTGAATGGTTTATTGATGCCTATTGGGAACCCACAGAAGATTGAATGGGGGTTCAGAGTGCAGACACTTTCATTCTAGGAATGGGCGTCCGTGCATGATGATTTGACTTCTCTTCGTAGCATAAACATGCATGTGCACCAAAGCATTGATGTCATTACTGCAACTATTTCAGAATTTGAGTGGAAAGGGTGCTAGCCTGTGCGACCCAAGAAACGATGCATTAGCAATGCTGCGGCATTTGTCTTCCTAGCCAAGATTCGAAGTAGTGGGATGTGAAGACTTGCGTGCCAACTCATGTTGGCATTCTACAGGCTATGGACATGATTCCCTCAGGATGTGCGGAGGCAGACACGCTACCATTAATGTGGGTAAAACACCGCCATAAACTCCCCAAGGAAAATCACCATTTTTATAGGTGGTATGTTTACCATTCCCAGGAAAATGGGTGGTTTATGGATGTTTATGGCATTGTTTTACCCACATCAAATCGGGTTGTAAGATGCAAGGCTTTGTGACAAAAGACACTGGAGGAGATCTATGAATTTGCAGCACCGGAGGATGACGATTTGCCAGAAGTGCCTTACTGTGGTGGCTCGACTTGGGAACCGGTTAGATTCAGTGGGCGCGGAGTATATGGAACACATGGCATGGAGGATTTTTTCGGCACTTGAATTAAGCCTGCACGGTGGTGTTCGCAACTATGTTACTGGGAGATGGCAAGAGCTTTTGTTGTGTTTGATTTTGATGTGGGTTTATCCTAGTGTCAGCCCACGTTGAGGGTTTCCACACTCCATAGGGAATGCTACTATTTATTTAATGATGTTTATTTGCAGAATTCTGGATGCCACCCTTTGTGAGTGAAGCAACAGTCAGAAGCACCCATACCAGATACCAGTACCACATGAAAATGCATAAAATGCATTTGATTCTACACCTGATATCACCTGAGTCAGGTGTCATGTGATTCGCACAGAATCCGAGGTGGAGAGGTATTGGCGACCCCAGCCGGCAGAAGCCGAGATGAATATGAGGCGGGGCACAAAGTGAGCCACTAAACATACTATTGTTTATTTTTCACCATGACGGGTCATACTGAGCATTTTTTTTGGGGATTATGACAACCCACAACAGGGATACATATTAGCCAGTAGAATGGGATGGGATGGTCGTTTTCATGGCTCATGTCTTGTGGTGCAAAAGGCTACAGCGGCGGGCGCTTCCTTATAGATTGAACCTTTGATGTGCTGAGCATATTCATTGTCCAATTACCCTCTGGTAAACTAACATAGCTATGGAAAATCATCATTTTTAATGGGAAAACACACTATAAATGACCATTTTCAATAGCTATGTTAGTTTACCAGAGGGTATGTCTAGTTGATTGATCTTCATTTGGGTAAATTATAGCAACCCCATTTAACTTCACCAGTTCGATGATGGTAGGAGAAATATGGAGAAATCATCGCCTTAAATTTCAAGAAACATGTCCTAAACTAATCAACTAATCAATCTGGTTTGGGAAATGTCCATCATTTTCTATCATTTTCTCAAGTCTATATCCAGCTGATCCAGCTGCTTCTGAGAAAATCGGATGCTGAAAAATCGGCAGGTGAGCCGCGTACAGCCCTTTGTGACCTCGATTGGGCGGGGGGTGGACCTGAGTGAACCAGGTGCCGATGTTCGGGAAAGGTTTCCCGCCAGGTGCCGATGATTTTTTCTGGTTTACTGAGCCAACGAAAACGAAGATTTTATCCGATCTTATCCATCAAAAATAATGATTTGACCAATAATAATGGGATGAACATGTATGTATATAATAATATGATATATATATATGAATGTTTATATATATATCATATCATATATATATAGTTATATTGGGATGAGTGGCAGCTTGATGTGATAGTTGCGTTTGTCAAAAAAGAATGGCCCCCTAGCCAGCAAAATAGACATGTAATAGCACACATGATCAAACATGTCAATGAATCAGTGGATTGGTGGGTGCCCAATTTTCAGATAACCAATTTTCGAAGGATATATCCAGGATGAATGAAGCATGCACAGAAATATATATGAGCAAGGGTCAAAAGATGTCATGAATGATGTTCATGCAACCCGCGGTCCCTTCCAAGAACGTGGGTTCCAACTATACTATAGAATGATAATGAATGATGTAGAATGTAATATATGCAATGTGATGTAGTACATATTTAGATGCAAAATTCTCTTCAGAATTGTGACAGCTACGTCACCCGCAGGATGGGATGAATCGAGCGATGCCTAGCTGGGGAGCGTTGAGCGCCTGGCCAGCTGGGTAGCGCGGAGATTTTGCACATTTTGAGCTCCTTGCTCCAACCGGGTTTTGGGGGGATGACAGGCACAATTTCTGTGATTTCACAGGGGCGACACGAAAAAATGGCGATGTTTCAGTCTGGGTCTGGAGTATGAACTGACGTAATTTATTTCATCCTGTTTCAGTTCAAGCAACTTCTGGGATTGATTCTCTTCGACAATTCCAGCGGCCCATATTCAACTGAGGCATCTTTGTTTCCTTCCGTTGACATCAGTTCCTGAAGCTGGAGGAAACACTTTACGCGCAGACAAAACATATGCTGGGCCCATCTAGGTCCAGGCATCAAAATACGGGATGGATTCTTTATGATACACCGCAACTTGATTTGGAGACTTCTACTTCCAAGGACTAGGAGCACAATGAAATGTGCTGTGAAGTGTTCACCGGAAGCTTCAGGGGATGTCGCCACCGCACTCAAGAGTCCCGACCTACCGGAGTGAAGCCAAACCCTGGCCACGATGGGGGTTGCTAATTCAACCATTTTTCCATTTCCAGTAGCCTTTATCAAAAAGTGCTGCACACAGCAACATGCTGCACTGAGACGCGCAATGTTTTCCTCTGTCCGGCATTCCTCTGGCTGCCATAGAAGCTGCCATGGAGCTGCATAAATTATGCTGCAGAAATGCCATCCACGAACAATGTCGAGATGGGAATGGAAGCAGTCCAAAGCAAACAACACAAACAACTGCTTATCAACAATAATTTCGTTCAATGACAGTCCTGAGTGGGCCCGACGGAGCTGCACGATTTTAGTTGGCAAAATCATGCAACAGCGTTTGTTGCGTGCTGAGGTTGTCACAATTCGTGCGAGTGAATCTATTGCCGCTAGGAATTCTTTTGAGCATAGCCATCCAGGTGGGATCCAACAGAAGAACAGCAGAAGTTTCACTTCATTGATCCGTCTGCGATCCCGCATGGACACCAGATGCACGAGCCCTTTTTTTCTCTGGGCAGAGCATAGAACATAGCCATGCATAGCCTTGGACACAACGTCTCCAAGTTGCTGACCTTCATATTGGTGAGGACATTGTGGGACATCCATCTCCAAAGCCATCAAGATCAATGGATGTCGGTCAATGGTGTTGCACATCAGATGGTACCATTGGTACCTCGAAAAACAGCTTGATATGTCGTTCCACAACGTGACCAAGAAAAGTCGCCAGCTAGGTGGGTCAGTTTCAGTCACTAAAGCCACTTGCCCATCATAATATGGAACAGCTAAGTATAAGTAACACATAGTCACATTAAGTAACTAAGTATTGCCTGGCTTGGATCCAATTGGACACATGGCAATTTTCAAACCTGGAGATGGTCACCTTTCTCACCTGTTCCAGTGCGAAAACTCGCAGTCCAGTCTTCGCCTGGGCCCTGCTGATGGGGGAGACCATGAAATCTCGTTCAAACTTGGACCAAGATCACACAGTCTTCGATGATCTCTGGTGTTCAGGGCGGTTTACACACCCCAAGTTGTACACAGCTGACCAGTTGCAAAAGTTGAGCAATCACAGCAGCATCGTGGTGAAGAACTAGATGAAAAGCTGCAGTGGGATAAACTTTTCCATGCTCTTAGATCAGGATCAAACTCATGAAAGACAGGCACCACTGATATTCTTCCCATTTCTTCCCCATCAGTGTTTCTGTGTGAAGAGTATTGAAAAGGGTCCGGTGCCCACTTGTTTCCATGAGGCACGGAAAGCAAAACTGCTTCCAGAGATTGACAGCCACAAGATGCAAACTTCTTGGCGATCCGGGATACCATCACCTGTGGTAATAGCATGTAATAGCAGTATTTAATAGCAATTAATAGCATACATATCCATACATATCCCAAGTTGCGCGTTGGTCTTCATAGCGCAAATTTTGCACTTGATGGCCAAAAAATCAGTGGAATCCGGGCGCTCTCGTGACAAACCTTAGTTGAGCAAAGAACCAGACAGCGGCGAATCAGTACGTAACAGACACGTTGGCATACACGCATACCGTATCTTTTCAACTATTCATATAGATACATCGTATAAGTATATGTATGTGTATGTAATGGATATATATATATATAATCATACTTGTATACATATATATATATATTTACATATAATTACATATAAATTGATATATATATATATAACCTAGTACATGTGTATGAACATGGATCTGCAGAGCTAGTTCTGATTCTTTGGCAAAGTTTTGTGACATCCTCAAGGGTCAGGCCGCCTGGTCTTTTTGCATCACAATTATCGCTTCTCTCATCTTTCCGTGGAACGTTGGAGATGCGCCGGGCTGGCCACTGGCGTGGCTCCCCCAGTGCATTCTTCTGATGAGAAGTGGATCCCAACATCTCACCACAGCAACTGACCCATGATCCCAAGTGCATGTAATCGATATACCGTTTTTCAGCTGGTTGTAGTGGTTGTGCATATATTCTGTGTATAGAGAACTATAGAGACATTCTTTGTGTATTTGATCATATTGCCTCATATTGCACATTTATATTCCTTCAATTCCTTCTACTGATTTTTTACTGATAGATGTTCAGCTGGTGTGGTGTAGAGACTCAAAATCTTCAACCCAACCGTGCGCCATTGCGGTGGTCGAGCCAGTGGAGCTGGGCACAATAAGCGCCGCCCCCATTTTTTTTAGGCCAGCGAGGTCGGATGGGCGCTGCGGTGGATCCTACCACGGCGTTGGTCGCGCGCGGGGGTTCGGAGGGTGAACATTCCAGCAGTTGAGTGAGAAATTTTGACAACCAATGGTGGAAACTGGAGAAGCTTGTTACATCCAATATCATCCAATCATGCAATGCTTATCAATTGTTTGCAATGGTGGAAGATGGGAACGTCAAAGCCCGAAGGCAAACCACCAGTGGTTGAATTTGGGATGGGTCTAAAAGTCGACCACATCCTGTGTGCGCGAAACAAAAAAGCACCTGCCAGTTGTCCTATGTGTGCAATATTAGTGGGCCATGCAAAATTCTGGTTATAGAATGAAGAATGAAACACAAAATTGTGCAGCCAAATCCAAAAAGTGTAAAGCGGAGATCAACATTTGTAAATGCTCACACTGCAAGTATGCCATCCCTACCCGTGACTATACTGTACATCAAATTGTCGATAGTTTGTTTTTCTCTATAGCTTTCAATCTAAAGATTGTTTTGCCTGCCGTGTGATAAACATCAAATAAAATCTCATCTCTGCTGATGAGGAAAGCTTTCAGTGGTGCATGTCCATATCTCCAGGCTACTGTGTGATTGACCAAATGGATGGCAAAGAACGTTTTCATGTGTGAATGAAGAAGCCCCTTCTCGCCCATGGTCATTCACTGTTTAGAGGTTGGAAGGATGCGTGGAATGCGATCGTACGACGTGATCCCTGTTTGTGCCATTTGCATAGAACAGAAATTTGAGGATGGAATTGGCACAAGACAGCTAACATAAGTTGGTCAACATACTTCTGGGGGCTATAGCTTGCAAGCCATGGCCATTTTTTTGTGTTGTTGTGACCCCAACAGAGTCTTGGGGGCAGCCATGGCCACACTGAGGGCAGTATGACGAGGCGATCCAGTATCACAACAAGCACCTAGAATTGGCAGCCTTTGACTCAGCATGGTGAGTTGCAACGTGTTGCAACGTTTGCCGTTTGCCCGGATCTTCGGCATTTTTTTCCCGTATTTTTGACAGAGGTGATACTGCACAAAGCTACGGTGTCAACATGTATGAGTCAGGATGAGTCAGGATAGAATAGAATCCTTCCGATCCTTCCCTGCCAAGTCCATTCAAAGTCCATTCATCGTCCATTCATCCTGTAAGGTTCCAAAGCTATTTAAGTTAAGCGAAATCCCCATCGACTTGCTGAGGACGGCACAGGTCGGTTGATCGCACACACCAACCTGGGCATTGTATTCCAGGCATGAAGCAGTTGCGGTTGGCTGTTCATACATGGACAACTTGTTCTGTACTCAAGTTGCATTCAAGTTGCTAATTGCCCAGTTGTTTCTTCGGAGACCACAATTTCAAGTGCTTGCTTCAGTACTGTAATTGGTGTACATATGTGTACATAGTGTAACTATGTAACTGTAACTGAATGTAACTATATATATATATATCTAATGTTGTAACCCCAATAATGAACATGAATAAACCTACCCTTTGGGCCTTTGGGGATGGTTTATAGATGTGTATAGCACCCATTTATCAATGGTGATTTATTGTTGGCTTTAGCTAAGCCTGGGAGGCGATGGGCTTGTCAGAGCATGCTGCGATACATCACCAGCACGCCATCGAATATGCCAATCGCATGGGTTCAAAGGACACAACTCTTGGGGCTGGAAGATACTGCAAGTCTTGGGGGTGAAAATGGCGGTTCTGTTCGAGGATATGGGAAAGAAAAAAAACAGTGACATTGTTGTGTAGGATTTGCGTAGTGGAAGATTGTAGCAGCTTAAAGATGCTTAAAGCATCTTAAAGCATGACTTTCATGATTCATTGTTTACCAGATTATCCTTGTATCATACTTCACAAGATGGACTCTTTTTGCGAAACTTTGGCCGGGTCAGTTTTGTAAAACAGCTTGGTGTCACGTCACGGCTGGTTGGAACAGCCGGAAGAGCTGACGCCCCGACTGTAGCGCAGGATGCTCAATGTTTTACGGTTCCTTCGCCACAGATTTGGACTTCGGCAAGCCACCACGGATTTTGGTCACAGCGTTCTGTTTTTTTTTAAAGTCTCTGCATAGGGTAACTGAAACATTTGGTGAAAAACTAGGCTCACATTGAAAACTGCAAGATGAACCATGGAAAATTTCGATGAAGTTACATTCATGAAAGACCGAGAAGACTCTTGCACAGACTGTATGTTCCTCACACGCACAGACTCACTCACTCTCTCTCGCTCTCTCTCTCGCTCTTACTCCTTGTGTGTGTATCATCAAGGTCCTACATAAAATTGAAAGACGTACCGACTCTGGCTTGTGGACCCTTCATGTTTTTCCACCTCTATGGAGCAGGGAAACCCGCTGCAGCTCAGGTTGGAAACCTGGGAATTGCATCTGCAGCTCAGGGAGATTTGCAGACCAGCCGGATCTGCCTTCAGCGCCCTCGCGGTCAGAGTTTCATGGGACAACCACGGATACTTTTGGTATCTACTGGTACTTCACGTATTTCAGCAAAGAGGCCCTGCTTTTGTCTTTTTGGGGAAGTAATGCCTGAGATATGCCCTGTTTGGTTGGTCAAACCTCCATTCTATTCCATTTTTGATGGGTAAATCGCAATTATGTCACGTTATATCACCACTATTACCAACTATATATTACAATTTCCCATTTCCCTTAGATTTAACCATTCTATATAACAACTATATTACCAACTATATATTACCCAACATGTTCTCCCTTAGATTTCCCCATTCTATCGCTGAGTACAGGTACCACTTGAGCTCTGCACAGCGGCAGAAATCCGCCGTGGGAGACAGCAAGTCTTGAGCCCCGTTGGAGCTGACGGATTTTAAGCCTCAAAAATAGAGATGCAACAATGGTTAAAATTTCACCAAATGGGATAATCATAGGGATAATCATAGAGATAATCATAGGGATAATCATAGGTTAACTGTATCCCTATGATTTCACCATATTTAAAATGTTCACCAATGACAATGGGGAAAAAAAATAGGGGTACAGTGGGCGAAGTAAATTGATATGATCGTTGGGTGTGTCTGAATATCGGGCATTTCACCTCCGAAAATGGCTACTTCGCGGGGAAAATGATGATCAAACATCGGATTTAGGGGTTCCCTAGTTTCAGACCAACCCATTTCGGGATTTGACCACGCGTATGTCTGGAGATGAATCGACTAGGCTGCTCAATGCTTGTCCTTGGTGTACTCAACGGCTGTCAAGGGAAGTTAAACTTTGCAGCCTCTGAAAAGATCGTGCTAGTTCGGCTTTGGATCGAGCTTGTCCTGGAACATGAACCATGGAGGTCCCATGTCTTCCAAAGACTTTAATCTGAGGTTTGCTCAGCATACCCTCAAAGAGGTGAGCAAGAATGCATATCATCGGCTGGGCCAGGCCTGGAAATTTCGCCAGAGCATGGAGAGCGCATTGGTGCTGAAATCTGCTGAATTTGAAGTCAGGGACACGTCCAGTTAATTACATCATTTGCATCCATCTGAGCCAAGATATTCAAAAATACCCTGGTTGATGGGTTAATCAATTGGAACTATAATATAATATAATATAATATAATATAATAATATATATATATATAGATGTAAATTGGTAGCGGAGGATACAACCAATCAAGCAATCTGACCCTGTCAGGAAAATCAATATTGAATGAACCCTGTCAAATCAAGTGGATGATGACCCTGTCGATCAAAGAGATATGAATTGGTGTCCCACACCAAGAGAAAGCGCAGCAAAAGGTTTTGACTCACCGCTCAAGGCTCCATCGCCGATCCTACAGCGAAGTCCACGACCCTCCCACCACGGCCTGAACCAAAAAGGCCCCATGGAGGTTATATGTGGTCCATCCTGGATTCATGATCCATACTGAAGTCACATCAAGGCATAGATACCTGGCAATTCACACTCCCTAAAATCCTTTTTTGATGTGACCCACGGATCCACTGGACCGCCTGTTTCTTGTGAGCGTTCGTCTGCAAGCTGGCATCTTCATCGAACAGTTGGAATGAACCTTGTCTTAAAACTGCTCTGAGAAGGGTGGCATCCATGTTTTTGGTCAATGGATCGGCCAATTGCAACGCTGTGGGAATCCATCTAAAATGACAGTGTTCCAGACATCTTTCCTTAATGAGGAGCACCTCCAAAGTAGTGCGGTATTCTTCACATGATGGCATTGCACGTCGACTGACCAAATCATACAGGGATTTACAATCTGTTACCACCACTGCAGCATGCATGTGACGAAAAGCTTCAGGAGGATTCCTCCATTGAAACTCGGGCAACACTAAGGTGCCCCACAAGAGTCGGCACCAGCTCATTTTGTCAACGCTCCTTGACATGCTGAAAGCTTCTGCGGACAAGGTGGAACGTACCACCCTAGAGATCTTTTTTGATGACCATGAGATGGGACTGATAGGTGCTGTTTGGTTTTGTTGTAACTGAGGTGACGTTGCAAACACAAGGGTACCTTGAAACGATGACAATTGTTTTGGACTGGCAAACGAAGCATCCCCAAACACCACATGAGTCAATTGATCCGGATCAATAGACCTGAAAAAAATACTGACGTCACTGGTTTGTTGAGCTTCCCGAAGAACTTTATTTGCTTCCAACAAAGTTTGGATGGTAGGCTTGGATAGCTGAACTTGCACTTCTCCAAGCTTGGCAGCCACATCCGGTCGAGTGTTCGTTGTGGCATACTGTAGGCTACCGATTAAACCGCGCAAGTGAGACATCTCTGTCTCTGACACTGTTTCTTGAGGTGTAGATCTTCTGTGCTTACCAATTTCAATAGGCATGATTGAGTTCACGTAATCTTCTTGACATGCTCGGATACTAAAATCTGGCAATTGTTCAAGCTGAATTCCAGTGAAAACAAATTTGTTTTGCTTATACGACCCAAAAGGCAAGCTTTTACGCAGTTCTTCGATTTGATGATGAAACCATTCATCTCCGCCACATATTCCATCATCAACATGGGTACCTAGAACTCCGTGGAGAGTACGCTGTCCACCTTTCCAAGATTCAAGAAAATATACGCATGGTTCCAGAGGATGAACTTTGAAACCCAGTTTTTGTAATTGACTTGAAAGTTCCTTATAGAAAAGCAATGGTGCGTCAACTCTACCATAGGCATTTCCAATCAAGGCACACACCTGATTCTCATCAAGTTGCATTCGTTGGCGAAGCTCTTTTGGAGGTTCCATAGCTAAAGGGTTATTTTGATCTGCTTTTCCACGGAGGAATGCGGTCTTGATATCGAAAGAAGTGAGAACCCAATGCATGGAGGAGATAAGCTGTAAAACCGTATGCCTACCCTCACGAGTGAGTGTTGGAGCATCTCTACTGACTTCGGTTAACCGTGGATCCTGATACCCCAATACAACCAGTCTAGCCTTGGCTTTTCTTCCTGATCCGTTTGTTGTTTCGTTTTCTGGAACATTCTTCCAAGTGAGAACCCATCTTGATTTCAGGATTTGTTCAGGATTCAGGTGTTTTCTCAGCACAGGCTTGAGCGCACTGGTCTGTAGCCAGCAGGAAAGTTCAGCATCCTTGGCGGCTTCAAACAGTTTTCGATCAGCCTGAGTCAGATCCTTGACCTGAACTTCGGCACGAGCCCTCTTTCCGGCAGAGGCAACCTGTGCAAGTTCCTCCGGATGTTCTGCAGAAGACCATTTTAGGATATCCTGACGTGACATGGGGACTTCCAACATGAAACACTGGTGATCCAGAGGCTCTGGAGGATTCTCGATAAAGGGCATACCGTCTTCCGCAAGGCAAACCTGATTACTTTGGGTTCCAGCATGAAAAACATTCCATTCATGTAAGGTTGTATCAGTTTCAAGATGACAAACATCGTGGCATGTGAGAACATCCGCATGGGATTCAAGTCCATCTTCCTGACTCTCAGAGGCATCAAGGTCAATGGCATTATCGGGAGAGTTATCGTTGATTTCTAGTTGAGGGGGATTATTATTATTGGAATTATCTGGAGAATCGTTTATGGGTGTATTGGCAGGATCTGTTTGTGGATCTGGGAACAGTTCACTTTCAGGTTGTACGCTGGATTGGTTACTGACAGGCAATGCAGGTTCTGGAGCAAAACTACCGGGTGAATACATTTCATCTTCCTGATTCCCTGGGGCATTTGTTCTGTGTGGCACCCCTGGGTTCTGAGCATCACTGAGATGGCGCAAATCCTGGACTTGCTGGTCTAAGGAAACTGAGGCACTGTTCCATTCCCGCAGGGACGCTGGACGCAAGTTTTCTGGTGCACACCGCAGCAATTTGTCTCCGTGAGCAATCCACATTGTTGTTGAACCATCACGACAAACAATTCTGGCGGGCCCATGCCAACGTCCTACTTCACGACGACCAAAGGTATTCTTCTTTTTCCAGTACATGACATGTTGACCTATGGTATACGTGTCAACAGGAGGACATGATTTTCGCAGGAGTGCTCTTTGGATGGCTGCGTCATTGTCCGCAAGCAGAAACATCTTTCTGGCTCGTGTACGAACCTCCAGGTTTCGTCGAAACTTTTCGCAGTCCAAGTCAGAACCATCGGCCAGACTGTGTGATGCTACTTGTTCATCGGAAGTTAAGGAGGCAGTGACTTTAGGGGATTTACCCAGGACTATCTGCTCTGGAGAGAAACCATCTTGTCGAGACAAGGCATTCTTGGCTTGAAAGCAGGCTCGGAGGACCATATCCAATTCTTGAACATCTTCAATGGTCTTTTCCTGATCATAACGGTGAAGCATGTTCTTGACAATCTGGCCATGTCTTTCGATTCTGCCCTTTTGCCAGGCCTCGGTTGAGAGGCGTGGTTCAATGCTTTGCCTTTGCAAAAAGGTGAGCCATGCATCCGCACAAAATTCTCCTGCGGGATCGGAATAAATTCCGGAAGGTTGACCGGCCCAAGACATCCACATATCATTGAACGCAGGGATAACATGTTCCAAGTGTCGGTTGTCTAAGCGACGTCCTAAATGAAACAAAGAAGCTTCATCAATGCAGTGGAAAATCATGACTTGAAAACCCTTCTTTCCCGTCCAAAAGAAACCGTCAATCCCCAAGAGTTCATTGAATTCCTTGGGTTCGTGCAGTTTGGCAGGTCTTTGATGGCTAAATCTAGTGGTTTCAACGCAGGCATCACAAATGTACTCCTTGGCTGCTTCTACAACTTGCTCAGAAGCCCCTGCTGCTTTGAGATGTTGTGAAAGGACATTTGGATCTGGGTGGCCTAGATTCTTATGAAGCTTTATCAAATCTTGTTTCTCTTGTGGCTGTAGCAAGCGGAATTTTGGGCCATGCAAGGGCACTGGTGGCGGTGCCCAACCTTCGCAAGCTTGGCTGTTGGAACGTTCATGCACAGCCAACGGAAGATTTTGGCTTCCAGTCGCACGCACTGCAGATTCAGGCTCATCGGCCGGGCCGTCTTCACCAAGACCAAGGTCACGAGCATTCGCTGGCACAGATTCGGAATTTGGCAAACTACCAAACATTGTGATCGTGAGATGGCTGGGAATGCTCTTTCTTATCCTTTGGGCTCTGGTACAGTTATGCCAGTTTTCCAACCCCAGGTCATGGATTTCGGATGTTTCTCTGTGAACAGACACGGTGTATCTCAGGGAAAACTGGTGTGACGGTGGGGCTAGGAGAGGAACTTGATATCTCTCAGTACCCCTGCAAACAAACATGTCTGACAACTTGAGAGAGTCCTGTACAATTTCCTGAGCTAGTTGCCAAGCTGTTGAATCTGTGGGACATCGGGCATTGCCAACACGAGGAGCAAATGATCTGGCGGCATCCAGGACATTTTTCCAAGGTTCGGACCTGGAAATCACGGGTGCTACTGGTCCAGAAACATTTGTCCCAGGATTCGGATCCGAGGATTCATGGCCAGAAATTGGAACATCAGGCGCTGCAACATCTTGGGTATCAACCGGTGGAACCTGAGAGAGTCTACGTCTTTTGAAAAGACTCTGATCACTGCGGAGTCTTTTGGTCGGTCTTTCCAGGTTTTCTTCTTCTCCATCTGCATGATATGCCATGGCATGTTCATCAGATCCTACATGATTGTGATGGTTTGTGCAAAGATTTCTGGCCATCATGTCGGCAAAACCACGGCAGTAAGTGGCACAAAAGCTGGTGAGCCTTTGCCGATTGCCATTGATGGAAATGCTCCCTTCAATGTTCTGGTGATCATGCTGATTTGTGCATCTCTGATCATGAACAGCATGAAACATTTGTTTTGAAGAAGTGAGCAACACACTACGTTTGCGAAGGTACTTGTTGGTCTTTGGGATGCGCAAACCAAAACGGCACATATCAAAGCGGGCTGTGGCTGTCTCCTGACGCAAGGATTCAAACATCTTCAAATGAGGGAGACCAGATCCAGCAGGCTGCTCTAGATGGAAATGGCGGCCGTTTCGAATTTGAAACCTGCAAACTTTGGCACACAATCTGACATGAGGAAGCTGAGAAATTTGCTTGGCTTGGATGGCATCATATAGTTGAACACTCTTAAACTTGTTTAAGTGGTTCCAGCCACCCCAGGGACCGCATTCAGGAGCCATCCAGATGTGCTCTGGTTGATATTTCTCTATGACATCCCAAAGCTTTTGACGACCGGCAAATGTGGCCAGATCTCCATCTTCCTTAGTGAACTTGAGAGCTTTGAGACCCATTCTCTGAACTGCTTCGGTCAAAGGACTGTGTTGATTTGCGTAAACCTCTAGGAGAAATACTCTTTGATGTGGGGTTTTGTTGGAAATCTCTGTGAAAAGTAAATCTTCCATGTGGTGAATGGCCTGTTCAATTTGATCATGGATTTGAATTTTGTCTTGAAATTTGGTTGGCTGTTTCAGCATGTCTTTTGTGGCCTGGACGGCAGCATGGAAGCCTTCAGACTCACTCAGTAGAGCAGGTTCAGCGTCTCGTCCATTTAGATCTCGTTGTGATTGTGGGTCAACCAGAGTTGTCCGAATCGGCAGAAATCTTGGTGCTCCGGCATGAGGGACCCGTAACGGGCCAGGCTCCATTGCAGGTAACCAGGATCCTTCTCCATCACTTCTGAGAAGGTCTTTCCTTTGTGTTTCCTGCCGAAGTTGATCATGTTGGTCCCCCACTCTGAGATCGTCAGGTTTCCAGGCAGCGGCAAGGTTGGTGCAGGTGGCACCGAGGCTCGCCCTTGAGTCAATTCCACGGGAACTGAAAGGGCCATCTCCTGGACCAAAATGGTCTCCTCCTCGGCTTCGATCTCTTGCCAGCTTGCAGCTTGGGAAACGACGGACGGTGCCCGACTCTTTCGCTGACTGACATTTGGAACCTGTGGCTTGGACAATGGCGTGGAACTTCCGGAGGTCATTGAGGCAATGCTCATTGGGGCTGCTGCAGGCTGAGGTCTCACCTTCTTTTCTGGAGTCTTCTTTTGAACTTCCACCTCCTCTCGGAGGGCTTCCAGTGTGGCGCCCTGTTGTTGAATTTGGCGCATCATATCCTGCAGGTGGGCATGAGTCTCCGGCTCGTTCTCGATCTCCATCTCGGCAAGGATCTCCTGCTTCTCGAGCTGCTGCACTAGGATCTGCAACAGCATGGTGAGAAGCCGGATCAGGGCTTCGGCAATGGTCTTGAGAGCACTGACCATTGGCGGCATGATGGCAATCAGCGGACGAATGCTGTGGGAACGGTGGCACCTGGTTCTTTGAGCGAAAGTCTCTGACTCGCAAAAATCTCTTGGCAGAGGTGGCAGAGTCTTGCATCAGTTGAGAAACCCCTACAACTGAACCCAAAAATTGTTTACTTTTCGAAAGTTCTAACTTATCCCCATTAGAACATCTTACCCCGAATTGTGAATGGGAATGGTCGGTGACACACTGCTTGACTCCCGCATGGGTGAATGCGGTGGCATCTCCTTGGCAAATGTCCAACATGTCGATGAGATACAAACCAGTGGGACTCGTTTGCAACGGAATGGGCTGATCTTGAACTTTGGACAAAACACACTGGTCAGTTTGCGTATCCAGTGATCCCTGCAACATCTTAAAGGCTTTCTTGGAAAACAGAAACGGTGTCAAACCACGAACAACTTCAACTGACAACCACAACTTCCTACCATGAGCATGTTTCAAAGGAAGTTGAACTGCATACATACTGGTAAGAGATTGGTTATTTCCAAAACGAAACTTGACTGAGCTATCCTTTTGACGGATTTGGGATCGGATGCATTCTGGCAGCGACTGCTTGAGGCGATGGAGTGTTTTGTCTCCAATGATGCAGCGGCTAGCTCCTGTGTCCAAAATGGCATGTGTACAGAAGTCTTCCAAGCTGCTATATACAGATTCGGCTATGCGAGACCCTGCAAACGGTCGGCATTTCAACTGAACTGTGGCATGGTGTGACTCCTCATCGTCCGGACATTTCCTGGGCAACGATCGTGAACATGGCACGGATGCGGAGGCATTTGGGACAGTATTAAACTTTTGCCTAGTCATGTTGAACTCAAACATCCTACGACTCAACTTGGCAACCCCGACTGCACGACTTTCATGATTGAGGACAAAACATGATTCTTCGGCAACAACAACTGGGTGCGGACTGGCGTCAACAGACGGAAGTTCATACTCATCTTCGGAAATCACTTCATCAGTGTCGGTCGAGGCTTGGAAAATCTCCTGAGGCCTCTCTTCGAACACAACATGGGCAGTGGCTGAAGACGAAGGCATGGCTGACTTCTCCGATTGGGAAGCCTGGGGACACTCGGCTTTCCAATGACCCAAGGCGCCGCAACGTCGGCAATGGCTCTTTGAAATACGCTGTAACAGCGCTTCCCGATCCTTTGACCTCTTGCCAAAGCTTTTGCCACGACCCTTGAACCCCTTGCCTTTTCCTTTCACAGGCCAGAAACCACGGCTCTTTCTCTTTTCCACTAACTTGGAACGGGCTTCTATGTACGACGTGAGAGCTTCGTACATCTCTGGTGTCTCTTGCAAGAAATCTTCAAACTCTCCCTCAAACGTCGATACGGTCAAAGCATCGGCATCATCCTGAGCAATCAGTGCCTCAATGAAATCTGGTTCCAATTCAACTTCATGTTCATCGGCATGAGTGAAAAAGGCCTTCTCATGATGACCAGTATCGGCAGCAGCATGATGTTCATGTTGATCGGCTTCGGAAACATTGACATCATAGACCCTGTTTTTCTGACTACTGCGACCAGTCTGAAATTCATTGAAAAATCGACTGCCCAACAACCTGAAGGCTTTGACTACCGGCCCATACTTGAGCTCTCCACCGTGTTCGAGCAGGATGCGTTTCTTGTCATCCGCACTGAGCGTCGATTGACGCAAGAGAACGTAGGCCTGAACCTCCTCCAGTGTCGTGTTGCGAGCAATGAGCTCAACAAAATTGGCTTCCATCCTAGACAAAAAACTGTCGTGGGACTCGTCATTGCGTTGAACTGTTCCGTACAATGACCTTTCAAAGAACTCGTACCTTTCTTCAAGTTCTGTGGAGCCCCAAGAACCTCCGATCGCCTCCACGATGGCTGCAATGCCATCAGTCGATTTCACCTTCAACTTCTGAGGTGGGATACGGGCAATCTTTTTGAACGCCGTACCCTCCACCAACAACGCAGCTCTAGGAGCTAATTGATCCAGGAAATCCGTAGGCCACAAGGCCGCAAGGAACTTGAGCTTCTGCGTATACTCCTGGACATTTGTCGTCCCTGGGACGAACTTCGGGATTTGACTCCAAGGCAGCTGAGTGCTGACCTGAGTCGGAGCTTCATCATCCGGCACAGGAGGCAAATCTGACTCCTGAGGCGGTGGCATTCTCAAAACTGTTGTAACTGCACACAAATCCAAAAAGGGCTCGGCCTCCCTGAATCACCACTCTTACAGTTGCCAAAGGAAAACGGACGTCCCTGATGTCCACCAAGGCAGCTGGAGCACTAGGCTCCGCTACCAATGTAAATTGGTAGCGGAGGATACAACCAATCAAGCAATCTGACCCTGTCAGGAAAATCAATATTGAATGAACCCTGTCAAATCAAGTGGATGATGACCCTGTCGATCAAAGAGATATGAATTGGTGTCCCACACCAAGAGAAAGCGCAGCAAAAGGTTTTGACTCACCGCTCAAGGCTCCATCGCCGATCCTACAGCGAAGTCCACGACCCTCCCACCACGGCCTGAACCAAAAAGGCCCCATGGAGGTTATATGTGGTCCATCCTGGATTCATGATCCATGCTGAAGTCACATCAAGGCATAGATACCTGACAATTCACAGATATATTAATATATATATATATATGTATATACATATACATATACATATACATATATCATATATCATATATCATATGATATATAATATGCTTGATTTGCTCCTCGACATTTCGCCAATGCCATGTATAATATGTGCCAGTGTTGGGAGAATAGGGAAACTCATGAATTTCTGATGCTGACAGGCCAACGTGACCATCGAGAAAGTTCAGAAGGGACTCAAAGACTACCTCGAGACCAAGAGGCAAACTGTTTGGTAAATCTTGGCACATTTCCAGATGCAGGGCATGTTGGAAGACCGTAAGATTCTTTGCAAGACTTCAACTGCGTGGGTTGCAATGACACCTCTCATTGTTTGTTTGAATTGAACATTGCAATATTGCATCCAATTGTAGGTTGTATTTTCCGCGGTTCTTCTTCTTGAACGATGCCGACCTGCTGTCCATTTTGGCAGAGACCAAGGACGTTTAGTCCGGATAGTTGATTGATGTTGATTGCATAGGGATCAGGAAAGTGCTGGCTAGGGTTGTGGAGTTGTGGAGTGGAAGGCTGTGATCGGAGGGCCATCGCCCATGCTGATGTGATAGCCAGAAACGTGCAGCTTGGGATTCCTTTGAAGGATCCAACTCTGGTGCAACCTCACTTGAACAAAGCCTTCGAAGGCATTGCAAAGGTTCGCTTTGATTCCAAGTGCCAGGGCTGCACGGTAGGGTTGGCCTTTGCTAACTTAGTCTGACCTCAGCCTGCTTCTTCACTCCGAGCGGAATTGAAACGGTAATGGGATGTAATGGGTAGATCATTAGTGTTGAGTGCGAGCAAGCACCGTTCACATCATTTTGCGAATGATTTGATTCTTGAAGGTTTTTCTGATCTGCATCTGGTTCAAGAATACAAACCTGTTTATTGATACGTGCTGTACTTGATACTTGATGGAGGTAGAAGAGACGGATGTGCAGTCGCAGAGATTCTATATACTTCTCCAAAACAATAATACAAATTGATACAAATTGAACAACGCCTCTATTTTTGGCTCATATAATGATGCGACATGCTTTCAAAATGCATTCAACTCATTCCGAGGAATGAAGTCATTGAAGCAATGACCAGTGGAGAGGGTGAAACCGTGGACTTCACCAACAAAGTGGATGTCATGAAGCCGGGCAACGTTGGTGCTGTGGAGTGTTGGCTCGTTGAAGTGGAGGAGTCGATGATGGACATCCTGCGAGAGGTCACGGACAAGTCCAACAAAGCGTATCCCAGTGCCGACCGCGTCAAGAAGCTTGGCTGTGCTCAGAGCTATGCTCAAAATTGCTCAAAGCTATGCCTGGCTTACAACTTTGCAAGTCTCTTTCAAAGTCTTTAATGACTTAATGAGGGGAAACATGCAGCATATATTACAGCATATTTCTTAAATTGACTTCCCTAACACTTGATTTGTCCGACAAGAGCCGTTGTCATGGTATGAGGTGGTGCTGTGAATGGCCTGGACAGGTGGTGTTGGCTACAGAGTCTTGACCAATTTCAGTACTTTTCAGTACCCGAGATGCAGCTGAAGATCCATATGATCCATGCCAAGTATTGCCAAGTAGAGACGGTACGAGATTCATCAACACATATCACACCTCTGAATACTTGAAGCAGAAACAGTGATTTTCTGCGGATCTTTGGGTTTCTGTTTACCATATATAGTTTTTTGCCTTGACTTGCCAAAATATCTCCAGAGCATATGACAAAAATCAAACAGCACGATAGTTTTGGAAACGCGGGAAAGGCTGAAGGCTGAAGATGGTGGAAGCAAAACTCATTTTGCGCCCAGGACATGATCTTCTGGACACAGGAGGTCACATCGGCTCTGAAGTCTGGAAGCATTGCAGAGTACGAAAAGCATCTTGTTGGCGCTTTAGATGTCGATGCGGCATGATTACTACAGTATACTACAGTACTATATATAGCATTTGTATACATTTGTAGAACATCGCTGAATAAATGGTGACACGTTGATATAACAGCAGTGCAATGCAGTGGATGTACATGTGTGGTGACTTTGCACCCGGTTATCCCTTGGTCTTGGTGTCTCTGGCCTGAAGATCAGACTGAGCTGTGGCCGTGGCAATTGCACATTCAATTCACGCGGTATGAAACACACTCCGGGACGTCAGGAAGCTCTTCAAGCAGCTCGAAGACATTGTGGTCCTGGTGCGAGGACAGTTTGTTTTTGCACACACTCACACACAATTTGTTGAGAACGACATCCCGTGCGTGGACTTGTGTTTTTTGATGCTTTCTCCCATAGTTTTTAGTTTCTGGCTATTGATCTTGCTCACATTTTGACATTGTCCAGAGT